CTCATTCTATAGACCAAGTGCTGGGATTAAAGATGTGCCACCACTGCCTGGTGATTGGAAGTTTTTTTTTTTAAATTATTTTTATTTGTATTTATGAGTGCCTGCCTGTATGTATATTATACCACGTGTATGCTTAGTGCTGGTAGAGGCCAGAAGGCATCAGACCCTCTAGAACTAGAATTATGAATGGTTGTGAGGCACTATGTGGGCATGGGTAACTGAACCCATGACTGCTGTAAGAACACATGCTGAGCCATCACTTTAACCCAGGGTGTGTGTGTGTGTGTGTGTGTGTGTGTGTGTATGTATGTGTATGTGTATGTAAAGAACTTTCGAAGTTCTTTATACAGTCTAGATATTATTATCTGAAGTATAATTGGCAAAGATTCTCTTCCATTCTGTAAGGCTGTCTTCTTTGAATGTTTCTTTTGCTCTAATGCTTTTTAATTTCCATACAATCCTGTTTGCTACTTCTTGTGCTATAGGGATCCTTGTAAAGTTCTAACTTAATATTTTGAAGTGTTTCCCCTAACATAAGTCTCAAGAATTCCTCTTAGAGCACTGGCAGACCCCAGTTTAAAGATGAATCTGCTGGGCCTGGTGGATGCTGAGCTATATCACCAACGCTGGAATTTTTTTTTTCCTTAAATGTTTTCAGTTCTTAGTTGAATCACTAGAATGTGCAGATACAGAGGGCTGATATATTAAAGAATGTTTGCATAAATACAATTAGACCATCTGGCTTAGAGAACCAGTGGAGGAGCCTGGTGGGGTGGCACATGCCATTTATTACAACCCGGTCTACATAGCAGTATCCAGGCCAGCCAGGCCTACATAGTGTGACCCTGTTTCCAGAAAAAAAAAAAAAAAAACCAGCAAAAAAACATGGTTGGCATGATAAATGAACAGGAAAGGGTGCTTGCTGCCAAGTCTAGCAACCTGAGTTTGATCAGAACCCACATGGTAGAAGGAGAAAACTGACTCTGTTGCATTGTCCTCTGTATGAGTGCATTAACACAGAAATATCCTTTCCAATAAATGTAATAAAAATACTCCCAAGTTATAGTGTGGTCGTGCTAGAGTATGGGTATAAGAGTATACCGGGCATTTCTAGTATGATACAGACTGCTAGAGGAAGGAGGAGTGCAGAAAAACAGCTTTGTCAAACCTCTCAGCCCAGAATATACTAAATGGGTAGGTCTAGAGTATATTTTTCAAGTAATAGGAAGTATAGGAGAATAGATTAACAGTGAGGTGGTGCCCAAGGGCAGTGCTAAAATATTCTGGGTGTATGATGAATGAAGAGACTAGTGAAATTCAGGTATCAACAAAAATAAAATCAACGTTGTGTGCATGTGTGCCTTTGTGGAAGTAGCAAAGGAAAGATGGAAACAAATGGTGACTAAGCTTCTGAATTGAGTATCATAGTTAGGCTAGGTATATCAGCCAGTGCTGGCCAGAAGAAAAGAGTAAATATATGAATGGATGATTGTAATGGATCGTAAAGTTGGTAAATCCAGATCTGTAAAGATGGCTGACTGTCCATAAACACATGAGTTGGAAGTTGCTGCATTAAAGCACACTACGCGAGTTGGAGGTGTAGAGGAAATTTGGGGACTTTTTTTTGTGAGACCCGAGTCTTTGCATAGTTTTTGCACTTAAGGAAGGACTGCTTCAGTGCAAAATTCTTAATCCAGTTGATTGGATGAGGCTTTTCCACATTTTGGAAGATAATCTTTTAAATCAATAGATTATAGCTGCTAATCACTTATACAAAATAACTTGAACATACAGAGCAGTATATGGTCAGACAGATGGGCATTATAACCTAGCCAAGCTGGTCTAAAAATTTTAATGGTCACAATGGGGGTGTGTGTGCAGAATATAGGTGCTAAAGCAGATACGTAAATTAAGAAATTATAAGCTCAATGAGGCAAGAGAGGATGGCATTTAGTTAAGGAAGCCCAGTAACTTCATTTCAGTGGGATTTGAAATTCAGTCATGAGCTCATAATTGGAATGAGATACTTAGGTCTGTATTTCAATAACTGCTGAAATCTGGATGAAAATGACATTTCTAGGTAGTAGAAAATGGGTTTAGAATGAAAATCTGAGATTTATGGACAGGAGAGCTGTCAGAGACAAAGGGGACTCTTGAAGGAGTGCCTGAAACGCAGCACATCGTTTGTTCATCTCCACAGGCCAATCTCGCTCCCATTTCTCACACAGAAGTGGATGGCATCACTTGGACAAGATGGTAGCCATTTCGGATTGTTTAAATGGTATTAGAATTTTATTGTAGATTATAGTAGAGTGACATACAAATTCGGTTCCATAATGTACGGCCATCCCTTTCTATCCAGTTGAGGACTGGAAACATTTGAATAAAAGTCTGCATTGAATGTGTTTGACATATACAGGCATTTGGATATTTGGTCCCTAATTGATGGCACTATTGGGGTATGTTTAGGAGGTGTGGCCTTGCTGAAGGAAGTATGTCACTAGGACAGGCTTTTGGGAGTATTAGAGCCTTACTTTATTATTCCCCGTTTGCTCTCTCTGCCTGTGACCCAACATGTGAACTAGCTTGCTACTCCAGATGCCATTTGCCACTTCGACACTGTGGACTCTTAGCTCTCTGGAATCCTAAGCCCTAATATACTCTTTCTTCTAAAGTTAGTTGCCTTGGTCATGGTGTTTCATCATAACATAGAAAAGTACCTAGTATACCCAGAAATAAGGTATATGAGAGAATGTTCATTGGTTATAGGTAAGCACCATTCCATTTTATATGAATGACGTCAGTTTTTAGGATTTTGTATGCTAGAGAGTCTGAGTGGTGGCTCCTTGAAACAAATCTTCCTTGGTTGCTGAGGGTTGAGTGTATATTTTTCTTACCTAGCCTTTATTTTTAGATTCTGAACTCATGTATTAGAGCATTATATGGAATGAAAGATTCACTTTAAATTTATTATTTTTTATGTGTTCTTTGCACCTTGTGTGTGTACCTGTCGAGGTCAGAAGAGGACATCAGAAACCTGGGACTGGAGTTACAGATGATTGTGAGCCTACATTGTGTGGGTGCTGGGAATTGAACCTGGGTCCTCAGTAAGAACAAGTGCTTTTAACCAGAGTTGACTCTCCAAGCCAAGGAGTGCAAGTTTTTTTTTTTTTTTTGCTTGTAGAAGTGTTTTAATATCTTCAGAGAGTACATTATGGCTCCGTTCCCTCTTTTCCTCCCTTCAGCCCCATCCTGAAAGGTTTTGCTAGTGCTCCTGAACCCTGTCATCCTCCCCTTCTATTTCTTTTTTCCTGCTTGAGACCACACACCCTGGGAGAGGGAGGGGGATGTGGTATTCTTGATTTACTTTTTATTTTTTGTGATGTTACAAAAAATAGTAGTGGATAATCTCTTTGTGTTCATGAGCTCTGTTTTCATGAGCTCTGTGTGTCTATAAGGTTCAAGGATTTTAACTTTGAATTTTGAGAACATTTGTTTATTAAGAAAATAGTAAGAATTAGAATGCTAAGCTTTAGATCCTAGAATGTTTTAGTTGAAATTATTTGAAAGCTAAAAAAAAAAAAGTACTTTTAGCTCTACTGTAGTGTGAGAATTAAAATTTTGAGGAAATAAAGTCAAACTCTAAAAGTACTTTTAAGAAGAGTCTAGAGCTATGGTGACATTTGCCTGTCTCCCAGCACTGGGAGATGGGGTTGGGGCAGGATAGGGCAGATTGAAGTCAGCCAGCTTAGCTACATACTGAGATCACTTCTTTAAAAACAAATCTAGGCCGTCTGAAACACTGAAACAAATGGCTTTCCCATGATGAAGGAAATAAGTGAAGAACTTAATTTCTTGTTTTTTTGGTTTTTCGAGACAGGGTTTCTCTATGTAGCTTTGCGCCTTTCCTGGAACTCACTTTGTAGACCGGGCTGGCCTCAAACTCACAGAGATCCTCCTGCCTTTGCCTTCCAAGTGCTGGGATTAAAGCCGCGCACCACCACCGCCTGGCATAAAAATAAACTTAATGAGTTATCTAGTGATGGGGAAGTGGGATAATATTGTTAATGACTTTTAATAATTTATTTATTTTTATTTTATGTGCATTGGTGTTTTGTCTACATTTATGTCTGTGTGAGGGTGTCAGATCTTGGAGTTACAGACAGTTGTTAGCTGTCACGTGGGTGCTGGGAACTGAACCCGGGTCCTGGAAGAGCTCTTAACCACTGAGCCATCTCTCCAGCGCCAAATATTGTCAATGATTTTAATATGACCCATTTTTATACCAGGAAGGGAATTGGATTTTATATTATCATTAATTTTTTTTAGATTTATTATGCATATGAGTGTTTTGTTTGCATGTACGTCTTTGTACCATGTGCATGCCTGTTGCCCACATGTGACACCCTTTCATAAGAAGGTATTGAGTGGAACTGGAGTTATAGATGGTTGTGAGCCAGCATGTGAATGCTGGGATTGAACTCAGGTCTTCTTTAATAACAGATGTCAACTGTTGAGCCATCTTTACTAAGAATTGGAGTTTTAACAAAAGGGATGAAACAGGGAAACTAGAAATAGGCAGTCAGATTAAGTTCTAGACAGAATTAATATGATGTTAATATAGGGAAATCGTAATGGAAGTATGCTGTGTATCCTGTTGTGCTGCCAGCTTCCCCAGGGGAAGATGGAGAAATCTTTCTTGAGGATGTCCATATTTTTAGTGGTATACCAGTAGGGAGAAGGCATAGTATTTCTCCTTTGTTTTTGTTTGAAACAGGGTTACTGGGGCTGGCCTTAAATTCTCTGTGCAGCTAAGGATGACACTGAGTTCCTGATTCTCCTGTGTCTGCCTCCCTCCACCCCCGCAAAGTACTCAGGTTAGCTGGAAGTGTTTCTCTCCACTTCTTGTTTGTTTAGTTAGCAGAAAACTACATTTATTTGTGAAATCTAGAAATATGTATGATTTCATCAATCTCATGTGTATTTTCTTTTCCATCTAGATAAAATTTTATATTTAAATAATCCAGAAAAGGAAGAGCAAGCAGATCGAGATGTGTAGCTCCGTGGCTGCCAAGCTGTGGTTTTTGACAGATCGACGAATCAGAGAAGACTATCCGCAAAAAGAGATCTTACGAGCTCTGAAGGCCAAATGTTGTGAGGAAGAATTGGACTTTAGGGCTGTAGTGATGGACGAGGTGGTGCTGACAGTTGAGCAAGGAAATCTGGGTAAGGCTATACAAGTGCTCTTTCAGATTTTGTTTAGAATGCTGTGAGTTGAAATTCTGGAATAATGAGGAGACGTGAAGTCATAACAGCCTTATCGTAAGTGCCATCACTTACAGGTAGTCTGTTTACAGAGACACAGGAGCACTAGTATTTCCTAAATTATAGTATGTATGGAAGAGTGGAAAGGAAACTAGAATAAAAACTTTGTAGTTTTATGAAAATTTAACTATCTGCCAGGCATGGTGGCACATGCTTTTAATTCCTGTCTCTCTTTTTTCTCCTGAAATCTCCTCGCTGTCTTGGCTCTATAGACCAGGCTGGCCTCAAACTCAGATTCATGTCTGCCTCTGCCTCCCCCGAACGCTGGGATTAAAGGAGTGTGCCACCATTGTCCAGCTGAGAAACCCTGTCTTAAAAAAAGATAAAATAAATAAATAAATAGTTTTTTACTTAACTACAAAATTTAAATTCCTTTTACTTATCTACAAAATTTAAAGTACTTGTAAGGAATTTTGTAATTCACTAATGGGAATTCTGTTGATTAATTAGTTTCCATGTGATTCTTATTTTCATTTTCCTTTAGATAATATCTGCAGCATTAATTGAAATAACTTATTACTTTAAAAATGCCAGTAGTGGTGTCTGCACACCATTAATCCCAACACTTGGGAGGCAGAGGCAGGTGAATCTCTGAGTTCAAGGGCAGCCTGGTCTGCAAAGAGAGTTGTAGGATGGCCAGAGCTGTTAGACAGAGAAACTCTATCTCAAAAAAAAAATACAAAACAACAACAACAAAAAGGATTTGACTCAGCTGGTGATACATGTATTTCTAGTGTTTCACATGTGTTCAGAAAATAGCCTGGGCATGGTGGCTCATTAGAATTGAGGCCAGAGTTCAAGGACAGTATGAGCTACAGAATAAGAAAAAACCTATCCCTACAAACAAAAATAAATATAATAAATAAGTAAATAAATGAACCAGTTGGTAGCCTTTGGTTTTCTAACATTTAAAAATATCTTCTAAGTAACCAAAATTTGGGAGGTAGACCTGGGCATCACTCTGATGGTTAGTGGTGTCAGCTTCACAGGATCTAGAATTTCCCAGGAGATGCGCTTCTGTGCTTCCCTGTGAGGCGTCTTCTTAACTACGTTAGTTCATCTGGCAAAGCCCACACTAACCGTGGGTAGGCCATTCCTTGGGCAGGGATCCTTCATTAATGGACCTCTTATGGATCCAGACATTTTTAGTCTTGTACACTTTCAATATTTTTAGATTATTTTATTTTATGTGCGTGGGTGTTTTGTCTACATATTGTGTGTGTGTGTGTGTGTGTGTGTGTGTGTACACCATGTGCATGCCTGGTGCCTTCGGAGGTCAGAAGAGTGCATTGGATCCCATGTTGGTGCTGGAAATTGAACCCTGGTCCTCTGCAAGAGCAACAAGTGTGCTTCACTGCTGAGCCACCTCTCCAGCCTTTTATGCTATATTAAATGCCATCCTCTTGTAGCGAGGTAATGAAACAGCTTTCACAGAACTCTCTTCTCTCTCTCTCTCTCTTTTTTTTTTTAATTAAAAATAATGTTCTTCAGGATTTTCTCCTTTGGAACATTTTCCTCATTATATGCCTAGTTACAAAGCAACAAAACAAAAAACTATAGTGTAACCCTAAACTGGAGTTCGTTGGCTCAACTTGCCTGTGGGTTTCTGCCCTTGGGCTGCCAGTTTTATATTTTTCCTGCTTATCTCTTAGTTTTACTGACTGTGGTTTGGACTTCAGGCTCCCTGATTCATTTCAAAGCCACTGTTTGATAGCAAGTCTCCTTGTTTTCAAAATTGACATACTTGGGTCAAACTCTTGTGTCAGCTGGCCTGTCAGTAGAAAGGAGAATGAAAACAACCTTCATCAAACAAGTGGTTGGTTTCCATTCTGCTTGCTTATAATGTGGGATATTGGAGACCAGGCCACCTCATTTCTGCTTGCTTATAATGTGGAGTATTGTAGACTAGACTGCTCTGAAACATCTGATCCCCTACTTCATCCCTCAGTGCTGAGATTAGTGGCATGGGGTACCTCTTGTGGCCCTCCTAGATGTAATTTATATGGTATTTGCTGTGGGATGGTCTGTATGTCAAATGTGTTGCTGATTGGTCAATGAATAAATCACTGATTGGCAGTGGCCAGGCAGGAAGTATAGGCAGGACTAACAGAGAGGAAAATTGAGAGAACAGGAAGCTGGGAGGGGAGACACTGCCAGCCGCCATCAGGATAAGGAAGATGTAAAGTACCGGTAAGCCACAAGCCACGTGGCAAGGTATAGATTAATAGAAATGGATTAATTTAAGCTGTAAGAACAGTTAACAAGAAGCCTGCCATGGCCATACAGTTTGAAACCAATATAAGTGTCTGTGTTTACTTGATTGGGTTTGAGCGGCTTGGGACTGGCGGGTGAGAGAGATTTGCCCTGACTGTGGGCCAGGCAGGAAAACTCTAGCTACAAATGGCGCCCAACGTGGGGCAAAAGTTTCCACCTAAAAACTGAAAAAAGAGTCTAAAATGGAGCTAAAAACAGCTTCCTAATTGTCTCTCTCAAATGAGCGGCAGCTGCCGGTTTGAGCTACTGGCGGGTTCCTAGCGTGTGCGCTCGACCTGCAGTATGGCGGGAATGAGGCCTCTGCAAATGACACATTAAGCTACATTATGGATTTAGCCTTTGCTAGTACAAAACAAAAAAAAAGAGGTTTTGGGGCTACACGCTGCTTGGATAAAAACATAGACCCACGATAGCTCCCAGAGCTGGAGGAAAACTACGGTACCCGCCGCCGCCATGTTGGGAAGCTGAGGTGGGCGGAGCCAGCGGGCACAGCTGCTGCAGCTTAAAGCAATAGATTCACAATAAGACAGATTCAGATGTAATAGTTTAAAATGTGTGTAAAATATACGTAGGCTTGAAAGAGACAAAAAAAGGTGATATATACAGTATAAAAACAAATACATGGTTTTAAAAAATAAAGTCTTTAAAGAGACAGTAAAATTAATATAAAAAATAAGCCACGTAGAGATGACTATTACACAGAGAGTCTGGATTATGTTGTCTTTGGGATTCTTAACTACAGAGAGATGTTTGATTGTAAAGGAAGCTGAGTTAAACCAGTACGTATATTTTAAAGATACTTTGACTTCAAAATTTGGATGTAAGGATATGTTGCTTTGGAAAAGAGTCTCTTTTGTTTCCACAAAAAGCAAGAGGCTATGGATTTGTTCCAGAGTAAGATACATCAGGTTTGACCAGCCAAGACCACCTGAAAGGTCTCCGATGACACCATGGCCCAGATGATCCAACATCCAGAACCGTTTCAAGGCAACTGGCTCAGACGATACACCCTCATGGACTACTCCATAATCCTATTCTTTGTGTCCCCATAAGATACAGCGCCCCCCTCCAGCAGAAAATAGTAAGAGAAGCTACGCCCAAATTCCCAAATATACCAAGCTAACTTTGGAGATATGTAAAGGTTAAAACCTTCCTTTTTAAGAAAAGAAAAGGGGAGGTGCTGTGGGATGGTCTGTATGTCAAATGTGTTGCTGATTGGTCAATGAATAAATCACTGATTGGCAGTGGCCAGGCAGGAAGTATAGGCAGGACTAACAGAGAGGAAAATTGAGAGAACAGGAAGCTGGGAGGGGAGACACTGCCAGCCGCCATCAGGATAAGGAAGATGTAAAGTACCGGTAAGCCACAAGCCACGTGGCAAGGTATAGATTAATAGAAATGGATTAATTTAAGCTGTAAGAACAGTTAACAAGAAGCCTGCCACGGCCATACAGTTTGAAACCAATATAAGTGTCTGTGTTTACTTGATTGGGTTTGAGCGGCTTGGGACTGGCGGGTGAGAGAGATTTGCCCTGACTGTGGGCCAGGCAGGAAAACTCTAGCTACAGGTATTAATATTTTTTATGAGTTTTCTGCTCTGAAATGGCGCCTGACATTAATTTGAGGAAAAGTCATAGTTATTGTTTAAAATACTTCTGTTTATTTTTCAGTTACATGAATTTATGCTACATATGAATTATACTTCTTGTTGCCATCCTGTAGTTTTTGGATAATCTCTTTTAAAAAAAAAAAAAAAAAGAAGAGCCGGGCGGTGGTGGTGCACGCCTTTAATCCCAGCACTCGGGAGGCAGAGCCAGGCGGATCTCTGTGAGTTCAAGGCCAGCCTGGTCTACAGAGTGAGATCCAGGAAAGGCGCAAAGCTACACAGAGAAACCCTGTCTCGAAAAACCAAAAAAAAAAAAAAAAAGAATTTACTTTTTATTTTTGGATGATTGCCATGATTACCAAGTTCTGAGATTAATTTCTCTGCTAAGTCCAGTGTAGTGAAGTTTCTATCAAAGACTTCTTTTAATTAGTGTTTTCCATATGTACAACTTTTTGTTTGTTTCTGTCTGTTCCTGCATGCTTTCTGCTTTTTCCATAGAAAGTCTTATACTGGGGCTGGATTGATGGCTCAGTAGTTAAGAGCACTGGCTGCTCTTCCAGAGGACTTGAGTTCAATTCCCAGCACCCACATGGCAGCTCACAACTGTCTGCAACCCCAGTTCCAGGGGATCTGACACCTTCACACCAATGCACATAAAATAAAGTTAAATTATTTAAAAAGAAAGGAAGTCTTACACTGTCAGTCATAGTGCTTTCACTCTAGCCTAGGCTGACTTGGAACTCTGTGCAGCTCAAATTGGCCTAAAAGTTGTGGGGATTCTCCTGTCTTAGCCTCCCGTGTGCTGGGGTCACAGGTGTGAGCTCCTATGCCCAGCTTCCTCTTTTATATTGCATACTCCTTCCAGTGATTTTAGCTTCATTTATTATTTTTTTTCAGGTCTACGGATCAATGGAGAGCTAATCTCTGCCTACCCACAGGTGGTGGTAGTCAGAGTTCCAACCCCATGGGTGCAGAGTGATAGTGATATCACTGTTTTGCGCCACCTAGAGAAGATGGGGTGCCGATTGATGAACCGACCTCAAGCTATCCTGAACTGTGTTAATAAATTCTGGACATTTCAAGAGTTAGCAGGCCATGGTGTACCTCTGCCAGATACTTTTTCTTATGGTGAGATCACAAATGAGAATGTATAATTGAGGGGGAGGGAGCCTAGAGAGATGACTCAGCAGGTAGTCTTCTTGTGAAGAGTGCTTGCTTCACAAACATGAGAATCTGAGTTCAGATCTCTGGCACTCAGGTAAAAGATGGGTATGGCCATGTGTCCTGTAACCACAGTGCTGTGGATGGTGGACAGGAAGATCACTGGGTGTTGCTGGTTGTCAGCTCCACTTTCAGTGAGAGACCCTGTCTTGGGGAATAAAGCACTTTCTAGTGATGGAGCAAGACACCTAGCATCCTTCTGATGTACACATACATTAATGCATGCGTCACACACAGAGAGAGAGAAACATAGTAAAGTGTTTGGTATTCCATATTTAACTGATAGAATAAATAACTGGTGCTAACTATAACATTTAAACAAGTATATCTCTGTTCCAATAAAACTTTCTTGTAAAATCAAGCAGTAGGCCAGAAATTAGCCCATAGGCCTTGGGTTTGAGGTAAGAGACAGCTGTTTGGTATTTCTATTTAATGTCTTTGTTATCATTTTCATACTCTTTAAGAAAATTACCTCATTAAAGAAGATGGGCAGTATGCTTTAAAGTAGCACTTAACTGTTCTCTGACAAAGGGTCATTTTAAGTCAGTTTGATGTGCATTAATACTAAAGTGAAATATAGTAATTTGTACAGCCAATAAATTGAATCCAATCCTTTTGGACTTGATCACCTGCCAATAGCAAATGTGTCACAAGAGGCACATTTTGAGTAACACTGCTATAAATACTATCATGCTAATTTTCTGCCCTTCCATTTGGAAAAGAGTGATATGCTTTTCTTTATTTCTTTGTTACTATTTTGTTTGTTCAAGGCTGTTGGCTTTGAACTTGCTGTGTAGACCAGGCTTTCTTCAAATCCTCCATCCCCTGCTTCTTTAGTGCTAGAATTACAGGATTGTACCACCATACCCAGCTTTCTACAAAAATATAGTTTTCTACAAAAGCATTTCTTCAAATAATGTTTAATAGAATACTTGGAAATTTAATGAGGTTTTAAAATGAATTTCTTGTCTTACTATAAAGAATGGAACCCCATATGAATGCGTTGATATAATTACTGCTTTTAGTATTTACACAGGACAAAATTAGTGTGAATCACTTAAAAGCTGATTTTCTAATGCTCTTGGGGTTTTAGTTTGGGAAGAAGAAAAGGGCTCACTAACCAGTAAATTGTGCCTTTAATGGTGAGGGATTAAAATTTTTAAGTGGATAATCTTAATTCATTAAATTGCAAATTGTTCCTATTGTACTGATGTCCCCAGGCCTTTTCCTGTCTTAGTTTTTTCTGTGATCGTACTGATTGTTTTTACACTTACAGACATTTCCCCTCAGTTTGCTGCTCTGTCATTTTCTTCTGAGCAGTGGAAGCAGAAAGACACAAGTAAGAGTAGCCAGACGTGGAATGAATGTGTCTTTAGTCCCAGCACTTGGGAGGCAGAGGCAGGCAGGTCTCTTTACATAGCAAGTTCCAGGACAGCCAGGGCCACATGGAGAAACCCAGTTTCAAATAACCAAAAAGCAAAACCATACTGGACCGAGTGGTACAGGCCAGTAATCCCAGCTACACAGGGGGTGGAGGCAGGGGAATCACATGTTAAAGCACAGCTTGGACTACAGAGTGAGTTCAGGGCCAGTTTGGCAACTTAGTGAAACTTTGTTTAGAGTAAGAAATGAAAAGAGGGCTGGAGATAGAGCTCAGTTGATCTTTGGGTGCTTAGCATAAATGAAACTGGGTTAAATCCCTGCTGCTGCAAACAGAAGCACTGACACTAGAACAGATGTGCTCATGGGATATAACAGAGGACTCAGACTCATTTAGTACAGCCGTCTGACTCTCAACAGAAAGAATGGCCAAGAACGTGCATTGGAGAAAAGACAGACCATTGCATGCTGGGAATCTACATAGCCACAAGTAGAAGAAACTAAATCTTTATCTCACCCTGCAGAAAAATCATTTCAGAAGTGATCAGAATCTTAGTGTGAGACCTAAAACCATGTAACCACTAGAGGACTTTAAAACACTTTAAGACATAGGTGTAGGTAATTAATCTCTCTCTCTCTCTCTCTCTCTCTCTCTCTCTCTCTCTCTCTCTCTCACTCTCTCACTCTCACTCTCTCACTCTCTCACTCACTCTCACTCTCTCACACACACACACCGTGTAGTTCTTAAATTTTAAAAATTATTTTATGTATATGTATTATTTTATCTGCATGTATGTCTGGGCACCAGGTGAGTGATGTCTGTGGAGACCAAAATGGGTGTTGGATCCTCTGCAGCTGGAGTTTTGGACAGTTGAGAACTGTCGTATGGGTGCTGGAAATTGAACTAGGTCATCATGAAGAGTAGTTAGTGCTTTTAACTACTGAGCCACCTCTCAAGCCCCCAATGGTGCTGTTTTCAGTGGATAGTCATTTATACGTAATTTTTTCAAGACAAACAGAAATTAGCCTGTCTTTTGCTTTACCTCCCTCCCTTGTCCTGTGCTTTAAAATTGGTCCCAGCATACTTTTGGTATTAATCTTAAATTTATTTTGTACTCAAACCAGGTGGCCATGAAAACTTTGCTAAAATGATTGACGAAGCAGAAGTGCTGGAGTTCCCAATGGTGGTGAAGAACACTCGGGGTCATAGAGGTGCGTAAAATTTGTGGATATGGTACATAGTTTTGAAATTGCTTTTGTAAATTAACAATTTAAGAGCAACCAACAAGTGTTTGAGACCACAAACGTGTAAAAGATTTCTACAAGTTCACTTTGGTGAGATGCAATTTCTGTTTAGAGGTTATGGTAGAGATAAAACATACGTGACTAGATCTCAACTTAATGTTTCATTTCAGCAATACATAGTCTCTTAATTTTCTTAACACAAGCTCATTTGGCACTCTCCAAGGCACAGTGAAATTAAAAGCATTTTAAATCTTAAAATATATTTTTCTGCCCTGAGTACAACTTTAGATGTAAAAAAATGAAACTGAGTTGGCTAAACTTTGAGTCTTCAAGTTACATACCTGTATCATAAAACTGAGGTTAGGAATTTGTGCAGAGAGTTAATCATTGTCCTGGGTTATCAGCCAGACCTAACAAGAAAGACTGGCACAGCAGTTAGGTTGCTTTGCACCTTTAACCTTGGTTCAACAAATCAGACAGCTGGCTAGTCTGTCCTTATGAACTAGACTGCTTTTTCTAGGAATAGTTTATCTTAAAAACCATTAGCAAGGCACCTGGTCTAATCTAAAACTACTTTGAAGCTAGTACCACTTAATTGTGTCCAAGAAACCTTTGACTTTATATCTTAGCATAAAGATTAAAGAAATTTGAGCCAGCCTGGCTCCTGGTTAATCAAAAATTTGAGCTGTGATTAAAGCAGCTTCTTAGTGGAACTCAATAGGCCCTGACTGTGCCAAAATTATACAGTATCTTCCTGAAAATCCACAGATATAAATATGTCCAGTAGATGAAATGTAATGGTGAGATAGCTACATTACAGATAGTGGGGGACTCTCCACATATAAATGCATCATATCAGATACCAAAGAAGAGCATGTGGCAGCAACAATATGAAATCACAGCATAAGCAGAAGACATTCTGGAGTCTATGTTCTCATAAGCTATGCTTGAATCAGACATTCCCATCAGAGAGTTGAACTTCTGGTGGGCTGACACCTGAATTTTAATTGCCATCTGCTGTTCCTCTAGCATGTCTATTGGCTACCAGCATATTCCAGTTCCCAGTAGTCTTTATTGCAATCTGAAACCTCACGAGCATTGTCAATCTGCTTTTGAGTTCCTAGAGCTGACATAATGAGCTTATCTCTAGCATATGTCTTCCTATGTTTCCAAACTCTTCACAAAACAGTCCAGAGGGTTTCTGAACCACTTCATCAGGAGCAGTCACAGCAATGAGCAAATACTTGGTACCAGTTTCTGTATTACTCATTTTCCCATTACTGTGATAAATTCTTGACCTCAACATCCAAATTCAGGATAATATTTTTGTGTGTTTTTACCCTCAGGCTCAGAGTGTTCCTTTATCAGCAGTCCATCCAGCCTTCCTCACTCCTTCCCTCCCTCCATTGCTCCCCTCCCTCCCTCCCTTCCTTCCTTTCAGTTTTTTTCAAGACAGGGTCTCTCTGTGTAGCCCTGGCTGTCCTGGAACTCAGTATGTAGGCCAGGCTGGCCTTGAACTCAGATCTGCCTGAATCTGCCTCCCGAGTCCTGGGATTAAAGGTGTGCACCACCACCACCACCACCACCACCACCACCACCACCACCACCACCACCACCACCACCACCCGACAAACAATACATCTTTCTTTACTAATAATTTTGAGAATATTATTTTGCTGGGTCTTTTCTCTGGATCTCTGTCTGGTTGTCGTTTCCCAGTATTTATCAGTATATTGTATAACTCTTTATTATCTTTGAAGAACATAGTTTGCAGAAGCTTGTACTGTGGTAAGAGACTGCCATAGTAGGTTGGCTAAACTAAGGTTTGTTACCTTAAGATGTCTGAGCTAAAAGTGTTAGCTCTGGACCATTTTATGCATACCCTCCTTTGCCTTTCTCCAGCCCCCAGTTGTTGGCCATTCTCTCCATGTACAGGACTCAGCAGACATCCGTCACTGTTGCAGTATTTGCAGCGCCTTTCTACTCTTGGTGTTTTCCAAAGCTGGCCTCTGTTCCTAGCACAGTTGTCTGTTCTAGCCAGAATGCTTCCTATCCATTGCTTTTGCAGCCACTCTGGAGCCGGTGTGATTCCTGTTGCTGTGATAGGCACTTCTAAAGAAGTTTTAGCAGAGAATATAATAAATTCAAGGATAAGACATACATAGTACCTTGACTGGAACACATGGATCAAAGTTCAGCTAGAACCATTGACTTTGTTGTTTATTTGGCTTCTCTAATGTGATAGCTAAGGATCTGGGGAGACTTATGGTGAATGCTCAGTAAACAAAGAAGCTGCATAACCTTCTGTGACTTAGCGCTAGAAGGCAACAAAAAGGAACACAGAATCAGTCCTCCAAAGAAGAACTTACAGCATATGTCAGAACGAGGTACCTCTGGGACCAGAGGAGAGATGGTTCAGGGGTTAAGATTAAGAGCACTGGCTGCCCTTCCGAAGGAGCTGGGTTCAATTCCTAGCAACCACATGCAGCTCACAACAGTCTTTTACTCCAGTTCCAGGTTATCTGACACCTTCACACAAACATACATGCAGGCAAAACTCCAGTGACCATAAAAAAAATAAATTATTTAAAAAAAAAGACGTACCTCCATTGGAATAAAAATAAATAGAGCAAGGGACAGATTGGAGAATTCAGAAACAAATTAAGTCTATGATACTGCTATGTTACTGTATTGTAATAATAGAATGTTAATATATAATAATTTATGTGTATTTTAACTCAGAGGAAAGGGGTTTGCTAAAGAATGAGGTTAACATTGGCTAACCTTTGGAGGAATACAATGTAGATCCTCTTTCTCATAAACCCAAATGGAATAGTTCAGCCACAAGAATTTGTCTGGGGAAATAATAGATGATTATTAAGTTTGACCCCATATATTTTTCACATTATCTTACTAATCATAACTAAATCACTTTAGTCAATAGTTATAGCAAAGAATACTTTAAAAACATACAAGTATAATTGCTTCTAAAAGAGTATATTGGGACCCAAGAATGTATATTTATCCCTATCCACAATCTCATGACTTGCATGTGTTGTATATTTTTTTTATTTTTAAATCCTAGGCAAAGCTGTTTTCTTGGCACGAGATAAACATCATTTAGCTGATCTAAGCCATCTTATTCGGCATGAAGCTCCATATCTGTTCCAGAAATACATTCAAGAGTCTCATGGAAGGGATGTGCGAGTCATTGTTGTGGGAGGCCGCGTTGTTGGCACCATGTTACGTTGTTCGACAGATGGAAGGATGCAAAGCAATTGTTCACTAGGTAAAGACAAATGCAGAACCTTTCTGTTGGTATATAAAGTGAATGTGCTTTCCACATGAAATTGTAGCTCTGCTATCATTGTTGGTTTTCTCCTTATTGAATTAAATTTCACTGATTATGAATTTATTTTTTGTGATAACTTAAGTTTTTCCATTTCTGTTCAAACTTTTCATGCTTGTATATATTGTATTTAGCATATTCCTCATAGTTCAAGCTTTTCATGCTTGTATATATTGTATTTAGCATATTCCTCATACACAGCCACTTTTATTTTCCTTGCCTCTCTCTTCTTCCATTGGTCCCCTTGTCACCTTAGGACCTCTGCAGGAGCAACAAGTGCTTTTAACTACTGAGCCATCAAAGTGGGCCTTGTCACATCATACAGTGCTGGGATTAAAGGCATGTGATTGATCCCACACCTGGCTACCATTCCCACAGTTAACTTGGATTTTAATAAGCTCTCTACAAGTTCTAGAAATTTTCTCTTTTTCATTATAAAGTGTTTTTTGTTTGTTTGATTTGGTTTTTGGAGACAGGGTTTTTCTGTGTACTCTGGCTGTCCTGGAACTCACTCTGTAGATAAGGCTGGCCCTTAACTCACAGAGATCCATCTGCCTCTGCCTCCTAAGTCCTGGGATTAAATGTGTGCACCTGGCTCTGTGTGTGTGTGTGTGTGTGTGTGTGTGTGTGTGTGTGTGTGTGTGTGTGTGTGTGTGTGTTTTATCTGTGTACCATGAGCACACAGAGGCCTGAAAAGAGCACTGGATCCCCTAGAGATGCAGTTACAGTTGTGAGCTACCATGTGGGTGCTGGGAATCCAGGCTCTCTGTCAGAGCAATCAGTGTTCCCAACTGCTGAGTCATCTCTCCAGTGTCTCCTCCCCATTTTTCTCTTTGTTACCTCCTCTCCTCCATCTATTTATTTTCTTCTGGAAGATTTCAGATTTAATTCCCAGATTTCCTACTTTGTTTTATAATTTCATTTTAAATTTTTTGTCTGTGCTTTAAAAATATTCCCTATATTTGATTAATTCTGCTTTTCTTTTGGTTGTTTGGTTTTTGTTGTTCTGTTTTGAGACGGGGTCTTGATGGATAGCTCAGGCTGGCCTTGAACTCTCCTCCTGCCTCAGCCTCTTGAAGCTAGTCTCCCACGTGAGGATGCTCTTATGTTTCCTTACTCTCACTCTATGCTAGCAAAGCTCAGTCCTTACTATATGTTTGGCAGTGATCTGAAGATTCAGAAGCCTTTTTCTTAGGAATAGAACCCATAAAGAAAGAGTGCCATATTTGGATTGCCATATTCCCAGTACACACCCCATTCCTTGTCCCTGTTTTATGTCTGTATTAAATAAATTATTTTTGAGACAGAGTCTCACTGTGAAGCCTTGGCTAGCCTGGAACTTGCTCTGTATTCCAGGCTGCTTCAAACTCACAAATTCGTTAGGCTTCTCCACTTGCTATATATAAAATCAACTGGTGGACTGGGGAGATGGCTCAGTGGTTAAGAGTACTGGCTGTTCTTCCAGAGGACCTGGGTCCAATTCCCAGCCCCCACATGGCAGCTCATAACTGCCTTAACTCCAGTTTCAGGGAGTCCAACACCTTCACACAGACATACATGAAGGCAAAATACAGATGTGAATGACATAAAAATAAGTAAATTATTTTTAAAAAATCAGATGTTCTAATTAATACAAATATTTTAAACACAATCTTTCATATTTGCAGATTGAAATGATTCAACTGAGGACTTAAAATATTAAAAAACAAAAACAAACAAACAAAAAAAACAACCATAGTCCAGAGTTGGTGACTAAAGCTCAGTGTGTATGTTGCTTCCTAAAGGTTCCTGAAAGCAGAACTTGGCAGAAGCCAAACACTGTGCTAAGTTGGCAGGAATCAAGTACTAGTCAGTCCTTCTCTACTTGAGTCTCATGGGCTCCTCATCCTCTCCCTGGCACTCTTTGAGTGTTGTTTGAATCGAGTTTATGGATGGAAAGTTGAACAATGGTTGCATCTGTATTGAACATACATTATCATTGTTCCTAAGCAATAACATTTTAACAACTCTTGGGTGTTTCCATTGTATCAGGTATTGTACTATAGAGCTGATTTAAAATACACAGCAGGTTGTAGGCACTACAAACTCTGTTAAGGGCTTGTGACCATTTGTAGATTTTGGTGTCTGGTGGGGATGGGAGGTTCTGGAAACCCTTGTGATGTTGAGGGACACGGTCCATGTTATCATAGACAGGATAGACCTTAAGGGAAGTTTAATGTCTTTCTAAGACTTTCTCTTGAAGTTCTTTCTCACTTTTCTTTAATCTCTGTTCCGGCAGATTGAAAACTTAAATTTTAAGCCAGTGGTGGTAGTGGATGCCTATAATGCCAGCACTCAGGAGGCTGAGGCAAAGGATCGTGAGTGTGAGCAGTCCAGATTAAATAAATAAGCTTTAGTCTGACTAGGAGGAAACGAAACCAGTTTTACACTAGCGTTGTTGTTGTTGGTTCATTACCCATTCAGAAGAGGCCTGTGTTAATGCTATCCAGAAGTTGGTAACCCGCCTCCACCTCTCCTTTTCTTTGCCAGGTGGTGTGGGGATGATGTGCTCATTGAGTGAACAAGGGAAGCAGCTAGCTATCCAGGTGTCTAATATCCTGGGGATGGATGTCTGTGGCATTGACCTGTTGATGAAAGATGACGGCTCCTTCTGTGTCTGCGAGGCCAATGCAAATGTAGGTTTCATCGCCTTTGATAAGGCTTGTAATCTAGATGTAGCTGGTATCATAGCAGACTATGCTGCCTCCCTTCTGCCCGCTGGCCGGCTCACCCGGCGCATGTCCCTGCTCTCTGTCGTGTCCACGGCCAGTGAGACTAGTGAGCCGGAGCTTGGTCCCCCTGCCAGCACTGCTGTCGACAACATGAGCGCAAGTTCCAGCTCTGTCGATAGCGACCCTGAAAGTACCACCGAGCGAGAGCTGCTCACCAAGCTCCCAGGGGGGCTGTTCAACATGAACCAGCTGCTAGCCAATGAAATCAAACTCCTGGTGGAGTGAACTCCACCGGTAAATAATTAACCAACAAAACCCTGGTAAAACTGTCTCCCCTCCCCATCCCTCCCCCTTTAACCAACTTGCAATGCTGTTCATGGAGAATGCTCAGGAGGTTGAGAGAAAGGTATAGTAAGATTGGTTAGAAGAAGGGAAAATAGATGAGACCTCTGATAGTATTACATACCGGATTCATTTACAGAGTCTACAGAAAGGAAGAGTAGGTGATATACAGAGAAATGGCAGGCTCTCTTGCTAACCTTTTCAATGACTAAAACCCTGCTCTTAGGCCATGAGGAACATGAAAGTTTCTTTTTCCGTGGTCTCTTGCTTTTGTTTTTATGTAGAATGGTTTTGATTCAAGTACTTGGTAGCATGACTTCACACAGTTTCAAGATTTGTAAAGAGGAAACATCTGCTTAAAAATAGAAATGTTTTAGTAGCAATCTAAAAATTCTGCCATTTCTCTCAGCTAGCATTTAAATGCACATAATTGTTTATGAACTCTTAAGGGGCTCTGACCGGGATTTCTTATTTTCATGTTCATCCTTGTTTTTTTCCCCCTTAATTTGGGTGGGAGGGTAATGTGACTATAATCCAATAAAGATTTTTAATAACAAAATTGGCATGTTTGCATGATGAAAGGGAAATGAACAGTATTGCAATGTCTGGTATACAAAGTAACATTTACTCAATGTAGATAAAGTTACACTAGTTAAAGTTTGTGCATTGACTTGTATTTGTTAGTGTTTTAGTCTTTTTTGAAGGATATATGCTCTGTTAATGTTGCATTTTTAATACATGCTGGTAACATCCCTTGCTCTATGACTTCATCTTTAACAATGGCCAAAGTAAACAAAATGCTACTTTTTTTGGTTAACAAGACACTGACTCAACAAACACATTTAAAAGTCTTCGTGCCCCCCTTTTCTCTTGATGAGTTGAACATTTAAAGGATAAGTACAGGGACATCATTTTGGGGAGGCAAGTAAAGGTCATTAGGTATAAAGCTGAAATGATTTCTTAATGCTATTTTTTGTATTTGCATTTTTCACATTTTAGGAGGGTTTATATATATGTTGCATGCAAGTATATGTGTTTTATTTTTTGTTTACACCAAACAAAGAATAGATTCTAGAGAATGGCATGATAGGAAGCAGTTTTTTCCTTAAAACGAAAGAAAACAATTGAATTGCTTTAGACACCGATAGTGTAGAGATACTCCCCTAAGGACAATAGGAAAGTAGATGTTTCTTAGGCATTGTGTGTGTGTGTGTGTGTGTGTGTGTGTGTGTGTGTGTGTGTGTGTGTTGTTTGTTTTTATTTGTAGACTGTTTGGCATATGACTTATTCAAGGATACATGCTTTTATTTAATGTTATGGCTGTGCATTTTCTCTTTATACACTTAAGATTTGGAGGGAGGTGGACTGGATGTTTTAATGCGATTTATTTAACATAATTGAGTCTCATATAGCCCTATCCTGAAGCCTTCAGTACTGACCACTCTATATTCCTTTTCTGAATTGATGAAAGCCCCCAGTCTGCATATAGTATGAGCCTTTAAGACCAGGATAAAGCTATTCCAGTGATTGAGTCTGGAAGATGTGTTAAGATGGCGATGCTACAGGGTTCAACATACTTTTTAAACAGCAAGCTCCATCTCCCTGCAAATTCTCTGCAGCTTCCCCGAGCTTTTCTTACCTCTCCAGTGCTGCTTTCCTTCACATGGACTGTCACATAATTTCTTGGACACTACTTAGAGACTCGAAGGTGATAATAAAACATCAGTATTATCCAGCTCCAACAGAGGTTTGATCATGATTAACTGTACAGTTTTCCCCATTTGAAAAAGGAATGTAATAAAACTTGGTTTCCCTCATAGAATTAAATAATATTAAAATGGAGTGAAAGGTTGATTGTTGACAAATAGAATAGTACCTATAATCTGTGAACTCTGTCATTTCATCTCAGAAAAAAGATACATAAGGAGTTCTAATTTATCTTTAGGATACTCTAATTGCATCTGCACGATTTGATTTGCACAGGGTCCTTGGGAGTCATAAGTACCTCTGATTCACTAACAGAATAAAAGTACTTGGTACTTTGCTGAATGATCATATTTTGGAGGGTGCATACTATTTGGTATAGAGAAATAAATGAACAGTCGTGTAATCAGATCCTAAAATCCGATCTGGTTGCCACATACATTATGATACACATGTAAGTCCATGCATTTAAAAACAAATAGAACATCTTCATTTGAAAAGTTCATCTTGCTATGGTGGGATAAAGAAAGAGGAAAATTAGAGTTATCCATTCTAAACCAAGCACTCGGTAAGGAGTTTTCACTGGCAGTTCCACTCCCTGTTCATGCAGCCACTGTGCATCAGCCAGTGTGAAATGTAGCTCTTCACCAGCCACCTTCTGGATATCACACTCACACAGTAGATGAAATTAACAGGGTTGCTCATCTTGAATTCTCTCAATTAAGGTAAGAATAAGAGCATTAAGGTAAGAAGGAGAACTCAAAGGAAATGAGTGATAGTTGACTTATTCTCATAATTGTTCTCACAACTTTTGTATAATCTTCACCTGTGAGATAAAATGTATTTATCAAATCTGTGTAATCATGCCAAAGTCTGAATTACTGTAAATTTTTTGTATGCTGTTAAAATTGTAATTGTTAATTGTATTTTTAATAATTCTCATGTTTTTATGTTATCTGCGATGAAAATTGGACTCTATACATATGAACTATGCCACTTAAAATTTCTAATAAGTATTTTTTCTTTTGATACTTACAATTGGTCATTTCTGCTGGCTTTTCTCCAATGAACTTTGAAATCTGTCTTTATGCTGTCAATAAGAAACTACCCTGGAACGTTAGAAAAAAATCCAACAAGAGACTTGCTTTCATCAAGCACTCCTCAGACTTTAAGAAAAAGCACTGACGGCAATGGAGACGGCCGATGACTGTCAATCATCTCCTTTTTCTCAAGAAGGAAAACATGGAAAAGCAAGCCTCTTTTCAGTGAACCCCTAGCTTGGGTTTGGGGGTGTTAGAGACATTGTGAAATCAAACCTTGTGTTATATTTTTCTCCTGGTTCGCTGTTTTGAGAAGGTTTGTGGGCTATTTGGCTGGTGAGACACGCTCCCCTCCTAAGAACATGTAGGTGCTCAGACAGGTAACCTCTGCCGCTGTTTGTTTGTCTGTTTGTTCGCTTTATTCACATTGGCTTCTGTTGTGCTAGGATGTAAAACATGTAATACATCGTAGGATTTATAACCAGGGTCACTGCTTTCTTTTGTTTCTTAAAAAGAAAAAAGTTTCACACAAAATACAGTCTAGGTCCCTTGGATTTGGAATGTTTAGTGATGGACAGAAGTCTGCTGTTGGAATCATCTAGTCTTTCAGATTAGATTGGAAATGTTTTCATTTTGTTTTGGTTTGGGGGTTTGTGTGGTATTTTATTTCCTTTATCCCAATGCACTTTGCCATGCCTCCTGGGATGGCTGCCTAACTCTGGTGACATTTTTTTTCATGTTAACAAAAGTTTGATTTTTAAAAATTCCTTAATGTTTTACATTTTAAAAATTGTTTTTGAAGAAATATTCTAATTGCTTGCACTGTTACTGTTCTTTGCCAGCCTTTTCAGGAGCCAAAATATACAAATACAAACAAACAAAAAATACTCAGAGAAAACACTTTCCTTCTTCCCCCCTCCTGATGATGAGTGAGAAGTTTTGAGAGCTTTGGGGTCAGTGCCCTTCTAAACTTCCCCTCCCCCAATAATGCAGCTGTGCAGTGGTGCTAAGTGCAGCGGCTCGGACCAGGCACAGCCCAGCCTGCTGGCAGGTAATTGGATTCTCCTTTATTTCCATCAGAAGGCTAACATTTTACTTTTTTAAGTTTTCTTTCTGTAACACTTTAAAGGCAAACGTGAGTTTATCATAACTTGATTTTTATAAATAATGTATAAATATGGTAGCAAATAATTTAAAGAAGAGTTTGTGGGATAAAGTTTGAATCGATTGGGATGAACTCAGCACTTGGGATTTCATTTAGCTGTTTAGATACTCCATTCCTTGCATATATGTCTATAATAAGTTTTCAGAGTGTGACTTTGGCTTTGTTTTGTTGTGGGTTTGTTTGTCTCTTCCATTGTGCTACTCTGGCTTAAGCTTTTTCAGGGGTTGGTGTTCCGAATACACAGTGAGCTCACACTTTAAAGACATCAATTAGGAGTTGACAGGTATGGAAAACTAGAGTTGTGTAAAGTAAACTAGGTTCTAGGTTATATATATGGTTTAAAGTACACTGTGTTCAGTTGGCCTTAGTGATGTGCACGGGGCTTGTGAAACCAGTAGAGCTTTTTAGTCACCTTAGAAGTGATCACTGTAGCCTTTCTGATACAATAGTCCTAACATATGTACGTGAATAGCCAAAGACTATCAAATTCTAAAGAGTACACATTATATAGATTGGAACATATAGGGTAGCATTTCTGAAGCACAGCATGGTTAACCAGATTAGCCAGGGTCATAAAACAAAGTTAGTGGCAGAATGGAAATAGTTTGTACAGTTTGGTAGTCTTCTGTTAGATACTGCTTTCCTTTATGTCCATCCCAGTTTGCTTACTGTTTCCTCCTTCCCTGTCCTTTCTAAGGTTTTCACTCTGAAAGCTAGCTTTATATTTTACATTAGAGCAGTAATCTCTCTTTAATAAAGGGTTTCAGAGACAATAGCCAGCACCTTCCCTTTATTTTTTGCATAGTTTTATCTGGTAGCTTGTCCTACACAAAAAATGTATACATTCAGCAGACCTGGTTAGTGAATAAGAAACCCTGGCCTCAGCTAGAGGCGTGTAATAAATGATAGCCTATTCTGTGCTTCAGTTGACACATGGGATAGGGACATCCTCTGGCATCTTAAGATAATTAGCTGTTGAACTGAACTGAAATTTACTTGTCCAGGAATTCCACCTGCACTCCTACAGGGATGTATGAGGTGTTCTGAGAAGGACTCCTTCAGGAGACTTTTGTTCTCTGGCCTATGAGAATGGCTACCAGTAGAATGTTTGCATTGCACAGGCTGTAGAGAGTTTAAACAACCCCTATTCTGATGCCCCATTAAATACTGCTGACTTGTAAGGAATCTTGATTTTATTGTATTCAAACTTACTAGGTGGACCTTATAGAGTATATTTACCTGGCTGCTATTTGGGATTTGGGGAACATGAGGGGTGGGGTGAACTGTTGTTGTTTTAGGTTTCAGTCAGACAGACATCCCTGTGCCTCAGTTCCCAGAAGCACAGCAGGCCTCTAGAAGCATCCGTGGGAACGGCGCAGTCCTGACATCTCCAACTTCTCCTGCTCAGGCTCATCCCATATGCAGAGGTCAAAAGGGTGGGGTTTGAGATGGGGGAAGGAATGAGAAAGTGGAAGCGATGTCATTGCAGTGCTGCTGTCGACCAGCTCTTTGGTGCTGATGTCAGTGTTTGTTATTGTTTTAAGTTGCCAAGTCTGTACATACATCTATTCGGGGAGAAAGTAATGGGAGGGTGGAAAAAGGAAGCCGTTATTATTGCTAGTCTCTTCTTGGATGTAGTTCCTTAGTGTCGAATAGAAAATTTCAAATGTAGGCTCCAGTGACAAAGAATGGGAATAGAAGTGAATCTTAGATTTTTAAAAAGCATTAGACATCATGCTGTGTTAATTCCCAATTCTCTTAGAACTATTATTTTTGTCATTCCTTCCCTTCCCCCTAATTTTCCTATGTATGTACTAGTTTAAGGCAATGTACATTCATGATCAGCCCTTTCTAAGGGACTTAATGAATATTAACTCTTTTGTAAAACAAAATACCCAATGCTTATATGGGCATACAAATGCTACCCTATTTTAAATGTAGGTGGCGTATGTGTTCGTGTTTTATTGTATTCAGAGCCATTGGGCAATAAGCAGTCCAGAACATTGAAATCTCAAGCAGGTAAAGCACCTAACACCCTTAGTTTCTAGAATTACTTTAAAGGCTTTGTATTGATGTGTCTTCCATGGTTCTTTGGGTAGTCTCTGAGTTTGGAATTTGTAGGAGTTGTAGACTACCTAGTTAATTTAAATCATGTACTTATTTATAGCTCATAGGGTTACATAGGGAAGGAAAACAATGAAACAGAACACGGCTCTTTGAGATAACGACCACTGAGTGTATAATCGTTCCTCTTCCTTTCTTTCTGTTTTTAATTTTCCTAGCTTAGCATGAACATTGATCATACGTTATTTGGTTTTCTATGATTGGGTTTTTTTCTCCTGATTATTGAGGTGGGATGGGCAATATTTGAAAATGTTGATTCACGTGTTAAAATATGAACTGTTAAAGCATTTGTTTAATTTGAACAATAAGCAAGGCCTTTTTCTATATGCCCTTCTGCTGCAGCAGAGAGATAAACGGGTAGGTGGCAGCAGAGAAAGGAACTTTGAGAGTGGCTGTTGACGTTAACCCTGCATAGGAGAAGCAACAGCATGTGACGTACCGAGTGGAGCAAGGAAGGGCAGAGACCAAGAAAGCTGGATTTAGGATGGCTGCCTCCTTCCTCTGAATGGTAAGTTATTCCCAACCTGGAATGTGCTTTCGGTTTGATACCAGGGTTGTGGAAGGTGCATTGTTGCAGCCTGTGGTGGTATGTAAACATGGGTCTCTGTCCTTCTCTACTTTAGGTTAAATCTGATCCTACTGGTGCATTAGCAGTCCCTGTTTTGAAAAATTACTAACACTATGCAAAATCCCCAATACATTGAAACATTGACCTTTAATGATGGCAAAAATTTTGTTGAATGTAAATTCTTTTTTAAAACTATTTTATGGAGTTAAGACCTCCCCCTTTAGTAGGAATGCTGGAGGAGTAGATATAAAGAATGTAATAATTAAGCAGGGTGGTGGTAGTGCAGGCCTTCAGTTCCGGCACTTGGGAGGCAGAGGCAGGGGGATCTCTCTCTACAGACCTGTCAGTTCTTCTCTTCTGCTCACGTTTCTGAGTCTTTTCCTCTTTTTTTATTTCTCATTTCAGTGTTTGTATGTGTGTCTCTCTCTCCTCCCCATTTCCTTTTTTCCCCTCTCATTCTCCCTGTTGCCTTAAGATTTTTTTTATCCAGTGTTGCCCTGCTGATTTTTTGTTTTGTGACAGGCTCTCTCTACATAGCCCTGGCTGTCCTGGAACTCACTATGTAGACTGGGCTGGCCTTAAGCTCAGAGATCAACCTGCCTCTGCCTCCAGAGTGCTGGGATTAAAAGCATGTAATCTTTTGTTTGGGGGTGGTTTGTTTTCTTGCTTTGAGATATAGGGTATGTAGACCTAGCTGACTCACCCCTATGGATCAGGTTGATGTCATTCACAGAAGAGCCCAACTGCCTTCCTCTTCCATCACGTCTATGTCTGTCTTTCCTTTTTTTTTTTTTTTTAAATTATTAAATTAAGGTTTAAGGCATTAACACTGTGGCACTGCATTTCTGTAATCCTAGCACTTGGGAAACAGAAGCAGAAGGAGCAGGGATTTAAGGGCATCCTTGGCTGCATTGTGAGTTGAGACCAGCATTAGCTGTATGAGAGAAAAGAAGGAAGAGAAAAAGGGAAGGGGATGGAGAAGAAGGGAAAGAAGACAAGAACTTGGCTAGGCTAAGTAGAAGAAAGTCAATGGATTTTAGACTTCGGCTTCCTACCTTTGTTTTGGTAGGGGCAGGGGTGTTGAGAAAGGGTCTCTATGCAGCTCTGCCTCATGAGCCACACCCCCGCTTACCTCCTGATTTTTAAATCTAAAGGAGCTCTGCTCATTGAGAAACCTATGTGTTAGAGATGAAGGTTTAATCTTTCAGATAAAACTTGTTTGTTTTTTTTTGTCTTTGTTTGTTTCATTTTTTGTTTTGTTTTATGTCAGGCTGGCATTGAACTCCTAATCCTTCTGCTCTCCCATCAAGTGCAGACATGTGCATGATGAATGGCACAGAAAAATGGTGACACTAACGGACCTCAGTGTTTCCATAGAGAATGTTTCTCAGAAGCACATTTATTAGGGGCCTTGTCATGTGGAAATAATGTTCTCAAGTCCTACAACATTAAAGATAGGATATCCAGAGATGGGTGATTGGTGATAGCTTCCACTAATCTAATAGAATGAGTTCCTGGTCTACAAATACTTAACCATAGACATTTGCAAAGATTACTTACTTACTTAATGTAGTCTTCAATTCAAACTCAGGTTAGTCAGGCTTGCACTCCAGCACCTTTACATACTGAGCCATATCTCAAGTCTTTAGGCAAGTCTTCTAACTCGTGAACTTGAACTTCATCTCTGGAACCCATGGTGGAAGGAGAGAACCAGCTCCCTAAAGTTGTCCTTTGATTTCTGCATATTCATGTGCTTGCATAATGAACACAATAATAATTTAAATAGATTAGAAAAAGATTTCCCAAGATTACAGAGCCAGAGCTGAAACCCAACTCTTGTACTTGAAAGTGTTGTTTACATTATATAGCATTCTGCATGGGAGCCGGCCTTACCCAGTGTAAGCTTCGGGGTCTTTTCAGAAAGCTTGTTGAGATGGCTGTAGGAACCACCTTTGGGTGTTTGCATGCATATTTACTGTTGACATTCGAGTCTACTTGGCTCAGCAATTCTTCCCAGACCTGAGTGTGGTTCTTACTCAGTTCCCAGCATCCATGTCAGGTGGCTCTCAACCACCTGAAACTCTAGCTCCAGAGGATTCAACTTCGGCGGGCATTGCCAGCACTTGTAGTCACGTGCACGCGCGTGCGCGCGCGCGCGCACACACACACACACACACACACACACACACACACAAAATCTTTTGGGTAAGGAAAGATACAAAGACGCCTTTGTGCTCTCTAGAATTTCTGTTTGAAGGAGAAAGCATTCCTGCTCTGAAACCCGCCTCTCTTTTGCACATTCCATTCTATTCCAGAAAATGATTCAGACTGTCACAGAGATGAAGTCTATATTCTCAAGTGCCTTCTTTTCATTGTAGATTGTAAAACCAGAAGAGGGGCAAGCAGAGTCAGTAGGATGAATAATAACACAACAGTGGAACAACTGTCTAAATATGAAGTGAATTTTGTTGTCTAAAAAATGTGTTAAAGTGATACCACCTGTATATTGGTGTAATTATTAAGGCCACTCCACGTAGTTAAAAGGGAGGTTTATTTTGTGGGGTAACTTCCAAGTGAAGGGATAGTTTACAGAGTCTGGGAAAGGCGTGGCGCAGTCCGGTGGTGTTCTCTGGAGAACTCTGCTCGGTCTACCTCCAGCGTCCAGGGTCCAGGAACCAAGAGAGCCAAGGCCACTCTGGGCCCCGCCTTGTAGGCGTGACTAGCTAGAGTTTTCCTGCCTGGCCCACAGTCAGGACAAATCTCTATCACCTGCCAGTCCCACAGCCGCTCAGACCCGACCAAGTAAACACAGAGACTTATATTGGTTACAAACTGTATGGCCGTGGCAGGCTTCTTGCTAACTGTTCTTACAGCTTAAATTAATCCATTTCCATTAATCTATACCCTGCCACATGGCTCGTGGCTTACCGGCATCTTCACATGCTGTTAGTCATCGTGGCGGCTGGCAGTGTCTCTCTGACTTAGCCTTCCACTTCCCAGCTTTATTCTCCTTGTCCCGCCTATGCTTCCTGCCTAGCCAGTGGCCAATCAGTGTTTTATTTATTGACCAATCAGCAACACATTTGCCATACAGAACATCCCACAGCACGTGACAGTTACTGAAGCCTCAATGGGGGTTGGAACTTCCAGATCAAGGCTGGAATGGCTACCCACTACAATCTGCTTAAAATAAGTTATAAACTGTAGGAAAGGAAAAAAGCAAAGTTTTAAAAAGAGCTGCAGTGCTGTGCTTTTGGTAGCGTCTCGGTTTTGTGAGCTGGGGTCTTCTGTGTAGCCTGGGTGGCCAGTCACTCATTGTTGCTTAGGTACCTGGAGCTTGCAGGCCGTCCTGCCTCAGCATCCGAGTGCTGAGATGGAGGGGGCAGCACTGCAGCACTGTGCAGCCCGTTGGCAGTACTGCGGATCCATCTGCGTATTCGAGATTTAGAAGAGTTTCTTCTGGAGAAAATGAAATAAATTTATTTATAGTAATAGTTATGCTCACTAAAATGTTAGGAACATTAACTATTTTCCAAGTTATAATTAGAGTATATGTCTTTGTTAACTCAGATCACCAAGTAATAGAATGGAAATAACAAAAAATTGAAGTACAATTTGTATATATTGTAATGTTGGTTGGCTTCCTGTCCTTCCTTTTTCTTTTTTCCCTTATCCCCATGACAGAGACTTAATCTGTGATTTCAGTGAATTTTGTTTTTCTCCAGGTGCTTTTGAAATAACCAGTGCTATTCTGGATGAAGACAGATTGGAGTTCACTTTTTAAAGTGGAAGAATAACACAGAATAAGTCAGTAGTTCTACCTTGTTGGCTTCAGTGTGGTTTCTTTTTCTGAAATAAAAGCACTGACTGGAAATGAAACACGTGGAGTGTGCCTTGTTCTTTTAGCAGCTATTATCTCTACGAACTCCATCATATGTGCTTTTCACATTAGTCCAGGATACTAGACTCAACCGAGTTCTTTTATTCTTCCCACTAGTTGTCTTCTGCATATGAAGTCTTACATTCTTCTGATGGGAATGCTCCTTTTGGCACATAGGCAGGTACTACAGCAGTGTTGGATAATTTCCTCTGGGTCCCTTTCCTTCAACACTGAATGATCATGCCAACTTGCTGCTGTGGTTGTTAATCTCTGAAAGGAATGGTCATATTGTCTCAGATTTCAATTCTAGCACTTAATGGTTACATGGCCTTTGGACACATCTCTCTCCATGATGTAGAGTATTTATTTCAAAAGAAAGTAAATGAATTTAGTTAGATTAATATGTAAGGATTACTAGAATATGGTGTAGCATTTCACCTATTGTTGAATATTTAACACTGTCAATCTTATGCATTTGGTTACTGATAACTAATTCAAAACGACTGAATTATTTAATTTGCTGAACTTCAACATGGGGTCTTGCCAATATTGGCAAGCACTCTACCACTGAAATAAACGTATTCCTAAGATTGGTGTTTCTGTTTCAGTTCTTCTTAGAATCTTAAGTACATGCCAACAGGTCAGACATTTGCTTCAAAGTGAAAGTTATTAAGAGTGGAACAAGGTATTTCAGAAGTTAATGATAGAAGCAAATGGACTGTTCTGGAAAAACAAAGATTGCGATAGTGAGACGCCTGTGTACTGATTACCCTTCTCATTGCTGTAACAATACCCAACCAAAGTAGCTCAAGCAGGGAGGGCTTTAGCATTTGTATGTGCAAAGGGATGTGGTTCAGCCCAACAAGGAAGGCGAAGTGCTGGATATGGTCCATCCTCATCAGGAAGCAGAGACCTGAGTGCTGGTGTCCGCTTGCTTTTGATTCAGTCAAGGACTCCGTTGGAATGGTGCTGCCCTCATTTAGTACATGGGGGAAGAAGGTAGGGGTGCTTCCCACCTCAGTTAATGCAATCTGGGAAATCCCTCACAGGCATGCCCCGACTTTAGCCATCTGGTTAACAATACAGCAATACAGATCAGTGGAACCCTGAAGCAGCAGGCCATTATTAGCAGTCCAGTGAGAAGTATCCCAGAACCAGCAATATGACAGCACTGAAATGATTTCTCATGTAGATGCTGTAACCTTAATAGACTGAGCCTGGGGTTGCCATGATTTTAAGGAGTAAAAGTCATTTTTGGATCCTGTTTTGTAGAAAACATATCTGTTGAAGATTAAGTAGATTGAATGTCTTATAAAATGACCCATGATTTGAGACTCTAACACAGCACAGTCAAAAAGGAATAAGGAGTTGATAGTTCATGAAGTTAGCCTAATTAAACCAGTAAATAGAAAGCCACCCTTCATGGTAAGATGCTTGAGTATAACAAAAAGCACTAAAGGCATCAAATTTCTTCAGAGTTCTGAAGACTAATAAACAATCAGTAAATGTCAACTCCTTTATTACAGATGACCTTGGACAGGTTCAGGGGTTTTTGCTTGTTTATGGCAGTTCCCTGTAGTCACCTCCAGTTACACAGGAAGACTGTAGATTGAGGGCAAGGCCTCATTAGGTAGGTGGCAACAGCTCTCAGCTTGTTTGACATTGATACGTGTATGGATAGGAGAGTGCTAATGAAACCCTGGGTAGTCAGAGTTTTGAGGAAAAGATAGAACAGAAAGGAAAAAGCAGTAGACAGGAATGCTTTTGGAGAGTAGAGAGAACAGACTTCATGTGCAGGTAAGCCCACCAATCTGAGCAGGTTGCCCATTGGATGTTCTAGTACTGCTTGGGTAGAAGTGGCCTGACTAGTATGCGGGAGGAATCCTTATTGGACCCGTGCAAAGGGTCAGGAGTGCTAGAGGCTGTAAGCCTCATGTACTAGTTGCATCCACTTTTCTTTGAAGACACTGGGTATTGTATCCCCATGGCAACCATGTTCCACTCCTTAACACTACACAGACCTACTTCACACATTTAAGGAACCTCTTCATGATTTCATGGTTCGCTGAAATTCCCTGTGTCATTACCACTGACACGTTTTGTGCTTTTAGGATTTGCCTCATACAGTTCAATTTGTAAGGCCTACTCAGATTTAGAATGTCTCCCAATCATTGAATATAAAGAAATGTTGAAGCAGTGATTCTGGGTGGGTTGTGGTACCTCCACCAGGTAGTGTTAGCTTCCTAATAACAAGTGATGAGAAGTGTAGGCACATTTATTTTATAGGGTGTGTTCCAGCATACCTTGACCACTGGCCTTCTAAAAATATTAGAGGAATCGCGGAATCCTACATCTTTGTAGACTTTACATCTACAAAGAACACATCTCAGCAGGGTTTCCATTTGTGTTAGCTACCTCGTGCTCATTCTACCCAGTTAGCACATTACAGAATGGATTTTGTAATCCATTATCCAAGGAGCTTAATGTCCCAAGAATTCCTGAAACAACAGACAGTACTGATTCCTGTCTATTCTGGTCTTTCCAGAATTAATTTGTCTTTCCGAATTTTGTGTCTTGGTACCTCCTTGCATCATTCTTGTGCTTTGGGCGATTATCAGTGAAATAAAGGTTACTGAGACACAAGCGTTGAGTGATACAGCAGCCAGCTAGTGAAGCAAGATAACGACCCTCCCGAGGAAACAGGTAGTATGCACAGCACTGGTATGCAACTAAAAGGAGCCACTTAGGGTTGGACAGAAGGATAGCACAAGATTTTGTCTTGCTACACAGAGGTGTGCAACTTAAAACTTAGGAGATGGAGTGTAGTTCTATGGTCAGGTGCATACTTCACTTGTACAAGGGGTTCCATCCTCAATGTTCCAAAAATAAAATTTAGCAACTGTTGACTCCTGAGATACTCCGCTTAATACTTTTAGACCAGTTGATTGTGGTTAACTGAAACTGGAGATGGTTGAAGGGATGTTTTGTGGGACATACTTGAATATCACTGATGTAAAGATAACACATCCCCAGGACAAAACTAAATAGTCTATGCCCCAGGGGTGGGAACATTTCTGGTTCTCTTTCTTGATAGGAAAAACAAATCCCAGATTTACTAAATCAAAGGCTGTATGTGTTTTTGTATAACTGGGACCTAATATTACCCTGTTCTGTGCAGTTCCTGGCTCTGAGTGAATCAACAAATTGGCCTTTGGGTACTAAAGTGGATCCAAAAAGTGGAAGCTAGAAGCCAGCTAGCCAACTGCATTCCTTATCATTTATTTTTGAGACAGAGTGTCATTGTGTATCTCAGGCTAGTCTGGACCTGGTTCCATAGACCAAGCTGGCCTCAGACTCACAGAGATCTGCCTCCAGAGTGCTGGGATTAAAGGTAGGTACCAATGTACCTGGCAAAATTTTATTTTTTGCCAAGATCTTTAAAATAAGGGGTTGGAAAAACTTGGTGGTTAAGAGCAACTGCTGCTCTTGCAGAGGACCTGAGTTCTGTTTCTAGCATAAATAGCAGGTGGCTTACAACCACCTGTTAACACCTAATCCATAGAATCAGATGACACCCACTTCTGGCCTTCACAGGCACTCTCTCTCTCTCTCTCTCTCTCTCTCTCTCTCTCTCTCTCTCACACACACACACACACACACACACACACACACACACACACATTTATTGATTGATTGATTTTTCAACACAGGGTTTTTCTGTGTAACAGCCCTGGATGTCCTGGAACTCTTAACCACTGAACCATCTCGAAAAGATGCCCCGGGAACAGATCTCTTTAAAAGACCCAATTTCTGTTCTTTTGGATAAATACCTTAAAGTGCAATTGCTGGACCATTTAGTAGTTGTATTTTTAATATGGGAGTGGGGAAGGAAACTATATTCTCTACACTGTAGCCCCACTGTTTCTCAGTGAGCTTTCTTGTTTGGTTTTGGTTTTGGTTTTGAAGACAGGATTTCTCTGGGTGACCCTGGCTGTCCTGGAACTCTCTCTGTAGACCAGGCTGGCCTCAAACTCACAGAGATCCACCTGCCTCTGCCTCCCAAGAGCTGGGATTAAAGGTGTGCACCACCACTGCCTGGCATCAATGAGTTTTCTTACAGGATGCTTTAGGACTTACATAGACACAATTTTCAGTAGAAGAGACTATATTAAAGTACATAGCTGTTACTTCTGTTGGTCTTACAGAGCAGAGATTCTCAACCTGTGGGTCGCGACGCCACAACACTTTCACAGAGGTCACCTAAGACCATCAGAAAATACAGATACTTACATTACAACTCATAACAGTAGCAAAATTACAGTTAGGAAGTAACAATGAAAATTTTATGGTGGGGAGTCACCACAACATGAACTGTGTTAAAGGATCGTAGCATTAGGAAGGTTGAGAACCACAATCTAGAGGAAATCACTGTTTAGCATTTTCTTTTCTATTTTTCAGCATATTTATGTTTCTTTATCTTTCTAAGACAATATCTTAGGCATCCTACATAGCAGAGGCTGGCTTTGAACGCTGGCTTCACCTCTCAGATGCCTGTGTCCCATGTGTAGCACTAGGCTGGATTGTTGAGTACTTCTTCCTTGTATGTGTGGGTGGTTTGGAGGCAGGGTCTAATGTAGCCAAAGCCGGCCTCAAATTCCCTACATAGTTGAGGATGCACTTGAACTTCTTTCCTTCTACTTCCATCTCCTGAGAGCTGGGGTGCAGGTGTGCACCCCACACCTGTGTGGAGTATTTCTTAAACCAATTGAATCATTATAAAAGCAGTGTTCTGGAGCTTGTCTCTTGAATATTTTGTCATACAAGCAGGTATACTGCTCTCGCAACGTTTTAAACAGCATGTGATGGTCATATTTGCTTCTATTATAATTTACCTTGTCGTAGCTACATGTAGTATCCTGATACTCTTTTAGTAAAACTCTCTCTTTTTTTTTTTTTTTTTGTCTTTTCGAGACAGGGTTTCTCTGTGTAGCTTTGTGCCTTTCCTGGATCTCGCTCTGTAGACCAGGCTGGCCTCGAACTCACAAAGACCCGCCTGCCTCTGCCTCCTGAGTGCTGGGATTAAAGACGTGCGCCACCACTGCCTGGTATAAAACTCCCTCTTTGCTTAAATCTTTTTGTTATTTTTAGATGCATCTAAATAATTCTAATATAAGAACATTAGCTTAGAATATTTAGGGTGACCAATTGAAAATTATTTAAACACCTTACCATTCCTGGAGAAATAAGTAATCCTTGTGGTTAGGATTCTGTACACGTATGTTTGAAAAACAGCACCTGGAAAGCTGTGGAGAGTAACAGGGACCATAAACCATAGTGAGGTTTCAACTTGAAAATGGTCATATGGTCACTTATCAGAATCAGCAGAAAAGATATGGGTTAAAAAAAATGCTTCTTTTCTCTACCAACACAGTCAGGAATTGTCCTGGGTTCTGGCCCAAGACAGCTGGAGGATAATGGATGTGACAGGAGTTAAGAACTGCCAAGTCTAATTAATATCTAGCGGCTGTAAAGTACCAACAGAAAGAGTAAAGTCATTTGCACTTGTTTAATAAAATCAGTTGAATATTTG